TAAATATAATCCAAAGCAGCGATCATGGTATTTATACTCTGAACTTGGACCGTCGAGCTATAGATTGCAGTAATCCTACACAAAGTAATCAAGATCATGTCGACGTCGGTATAAGATCGATAATGCTGGCGTTCTACATTTATCTATTGCCTATCGCGCCAAAGTCGTTATACTGTTAGATGGCCCTATCGTGTTCTTCCTTTTGCATTTTAGCAGAGGATTGACTGTCGTCTGCCATAATATAACCTTCTTTGAATTTTTAAAAAGTGTAAGTAAATATAAATAATTACAAGTTTAAAACAATTCTACTAAGTAATAAGCACTAGTGATCTTTATGTTCTATCTATTACTTGCAAAAACGTTTGGTTCTTAGCTAGTGTTGTGGTACAAAAATACGTGTACGAAACAACAGTATCAATCATCATTTTATAAAAGATGAAAATTAGATCATGTACATTCGATAGAGCATGTGGTAATATTGTATAAATTAATTTTTTATGACAGGCAGACGTTTTGCGTGAACAATGTCAGAAGTCGAGGAATCAGCTCCAGAGACAGCAGAAGCAGCTCCAGAGCAGGATGCTGTGTCTGAAGAAGACAAGAAGTTTTTAGCTGATTACATAAAAGAAACAGAACAGCGGCTAAACGCTAAAGAAGAAATTCGAGCTGCTAACTTAAATCCCAATAGACCACCGGAATCATATTTTAGCAAGCTCGATTCAACTTTAAAGAGGAACACGACGTTTGTTAAGAAATTAAAAAATTTTAGTAGCATTCAGTTAGATACAGTTCTAAAAGATATGACACATTTAAATCTGACCAAATATGTAAGCGAAGTTGCTACTGCTTTGGTAGATGCTAAACTGAAAATGACCGACGTTGCACCTGCTATTAAAGTATGCAGTTTCTTGCATCAAACGTATGCAGAATTCTCAACTCATTTTTTTGAAAACTGGCAAAGAATTTTATCATTGAAAGTTGTTGATAAAATTGCAAATCCAAGCAAACTTAGAGTAGATCTTCGATTTTACGCCGAACTAGTCAATGCAGGTATTTTTACCCATAAGCAAGGATTACCATTGCTCGGTTCTGCGTTAACAGTATTAATTAATATGGACAAAGAGGAACATAACAACGCAAGCATCATATTAAGTTTTTGCAAACACTGCGGTGAAGATTATGCAGGCCTTGTACCTAAGAAAGTGAGGGAAATATCTGAGAAACTGAACACGCCGATACCTAAAAGTAAATTACTTTCTCCCGACAAACAACAGAATGTCAGAGTATTGCTGCGGGATTATTATAATTCATTATGTAAGCATTTGTTGAAAGAACATAAAGATCTTCAAGCATTTGAAAAGCAAAATCGGAAGATTCTGCAAACGAGGGGCGAGCTAAGTTCTGAGAGGAAAGAAAAACTCGAGAGCCTACAAGTATCGTACGAACGTTTATTGAATAATGTACAAAGCTTTTCTGATACTTTGGATGAAGCAATGCCAGAACTGCCTGTGGATAACGAAATGAAAGCGGAAGCGGAAGAGTCGTTGAAAATGATCAGCGAAGGAGAAGAAAATAGCATTTTAGAAGATATGTGGGGAGACGAGGAGACACGCCGATTCTACGAAGTTCTACCGGATTTAACAGTATTTCTACCAGGGTCATATTTAAAAGAAGTACCGAAACAGGACGTTCCGATAAGCGAAGACACCTTAGATGAAGAAATAGCGTTCGATGAAATAGAAGAGCCGGAAAAGGTAGATGAACCAGAAGCGGAAGTGGAAGAGCCACAGGTTTCGAATATAAGTAATAAAATACTTCTAGATGCATTCATAACACACCTGCCAAATTGCGTAAATCGCGAATTAATTGACAACGCAGCAGTACACTTTCTAATGAATCTCAATACGAAGCATAATAAAAAGAAATTGGTAAAAGCGTTGTTCGGTGTCTCCAGAATTCGTTTAGATTTATTGCCATTTTATTCACGGTTGGCGGCTATTCTTTATCCTGTTATGCCCGACGTGGGAAACGACTTGTGCTCAATGTTGAAACATGATTTTAAATATCATGTACGGAAAAAAGATCAGATTAATATCGAGTCGAAAGTAAAAGTCGTCAGATATATCGGTGAACTCGTTAAATTTAAACTTTACTCAAAGATAGAAGCACTGTATTGTTTGAAGGTCTTGTTACATGATTTTACTCATCACCATATTGAAATGGCTTGTAATTTGTTAGAAACATGCGGTAGATACTTATTTTGCTCACCGGACTCGCATCAAAGAACGAAAGTTTATTTAGAGCAGATGATGCGTAAGAAGGCAGTCACTGCGTTGGATTCGCGTTATGTGACGATAATTGAGAATGCGTATTATTACGTGAATCCACCGGAAACTTCGGGCGGTACGTCGAGAAAGGATAGGCCGCCGATTCATGAATTCATAAGGAAACTGTTGTATCAGGATCTTTCGAAAACCAATACCGATAAAGTACTCAAGTGGATGCGTAAATTAGATTGGGAAGATGAAAGCGTGTCATCTTATGCTATTAAGTGTCTCACTGCCGCACACAATGTTAAATATCTAAATATTCGATGTGTAGGAAGTTTATTAGCGGGACTCGTCGCGCATTACGAAACGATAGGACCTCATGTGGTAGACGGTGTATTGGAAGACATAAGATTGTGCATGGAAATCAATTTACCGAAATTTAATCAACGGCGTATCGCTATGGTGAAATATCTCGGAGAACTGTACAACTATCGTATGGTAGAAAGCGGTGATATTTTCCGAACGCTGTATCTCCTAATTACTTTTGGAGTTAGTATGGACCATAACATACCAAGTGTTCTAGATCCTCCTGAGCATCTCTTTAGAATCCGTCTGGTCTGTACATTACTGGAGACATGCGGACAATATTTCAGCGGCGGTTCTAGCAAGAAGAAACTCGATTACTTTCTAATATTCTTCCAAAATTACTATTGGTTTAAATATACGGATCCAGTCTGGACTCAGGAAAATCCATTTCCCGTGGGTATAGATTACATGTACCGCGACACGCTAACGATGCTGAGGCCTAAAATGCAATTGTTCCAAAGTTACAAAGAAGCACAATGCGCTGTAGAGGAACTGCGAAATACATTGTATCCTACTCTTGGAAATCCTACCGCAGAAGATGGTGTTGAACGTATCGAGGGAGAGTCCGATATGGGTGTAATCGTCGAAGGAGACGAGGATGTGGCTGTGACATCTGGGAACGGCAGTGGAGACGCGAAAGGTGTGGCTGATTTACACTTTGAAGAATCTGAAGATTGCTCGGAGGCTCAATCGGAAGAGGACTGGACTGCTGACGGAGAAAGAGATTACACTATTGGCACGCAGGAAAATACACAAGGGGATCAAAGCCTTTCGGAAGGTGGTACCGATGGTGTCATTATGGATGTTACAGAACTAAATGCGGCACTGCCAGCGGGTCCTAGGAGAGTAAGTTGTCCCGAGGACGACGACTTCTTGTCCGCTCTTGATAAAATGGTTTCAGATAACATACAAGATAGAATGCGAGACTCGGTGAAGCCGCAGCAAGTGGACATTTCAGTCCCGCTGCATGTGAAAAGTACCAAAAAAACTTACGAACAATTGCAAGAGAGACCTACCGATAACAACACAGTCGATTTCGTGCTTATGCTTAGAAAGGGTAACAAACAACAATACAAGAATCTGGCGGTACCCGTGTCATCGGAATTGGCAATGAATCTTCGGAACCGAGAACAAGAACAAAAGGAAGAGAAGGAACGAGTTAAAAGATTGACGTTGAATATTACGGAGAGGCAGGAGGAGGAAGATTATCAAGAAACGATTAATCAGAGCACCAGGCCAGTGACGGTAAACTTAAATCGGGAACGACGGCAAAAATATAATCATCCCAAAGGCGCGCCAGATGCGGATCTCATTTTCGGCCCCAAAAAGATTCGGTAGATGTATTTTAATGCACATGGAAACAAATATTTGCATATTATGAAATCGCAAGTACTTTATATTCAATGCGAACATTCCATGTTCGTATTTGTATGTAAGATTTGCAACATATTAGCGACTCTTTATTTTTAATTTGAAATACATATCTATAGGTCGTTTATATGCATTCTCCTTTGAATGTCAATTTCCATGTAAAGATTTTTTTATATAATTCCACATTATGTTCTGTATTAAAAATGCATTAATGTCAATATGTATTTCCATCCATTTGAGTGAAAGATATTATTGTCAGCTCTTGATATACAATTGGTGTTTTATATATTACATATATATTAAATTACACGGTCTTTATGTATGTACAATATCTTCTTGAAACAACTGTTTGACTAAACTGCTGTACAATGTAGCTTGTCCTAAAAACTACATATTGACATGAACGAGGATACAGTGTTTTTAATATCAATCATGAAAATATGTTATTAAAAAATCGATACAGTTTTACAAATATATTCGTTTCGGACTTGAAGAGATTTTGTTAACATTTATTTTTATTACACAAAAGAAGATGAAACATGCATAATTTACTTAAAATAACAAGAAATTAAATTTGATATGTAATTATTTATTTTTCTCTAAGAAATTATCACCGTGTACAAAATGAATATAAATAAATGTTAGGTGTTTTTATGTTTGATACAGCTCTGTTATACAGTCTGTCGTAATATCACATATCTATCATATTATATGATACTGGTTATTATAAATTAATACTAAACGCATGTCTGCATTAAATTATTCCAATACTTTATAGATCTTCCTCCGCATCTTCAAATTGACCCGCTTCTATCTCCATGGCATCGTCTGCTTCTGTACCATTGTGAGTGGTTCCTATTTGTTCTAAGAACACAATTGCGATGAAATAAAAGTGAAAACTTTTAGATGTTGATTTTACAAATAAAAACTTTTTATGAATCATTTATATACACATTCTCTTTTCAATTTTATTCAAATAATAGATTGACAGCAAAGGTAGATTTAAGAAAATACCTGTTGGTAAAATGTAGGGAGCATCACCAGCACCAACTTCAAAATGTTCGAAGTCATCTTCTTCTGCGTCCTCATAAATATCCTCTTCAGCTACAAAGATATACTCACAATTATATTTGAAGTACTATGGTAATGCGATAAGTAAGAATTAAAGAAGACTATTTCACTTACCGTCAGAAAAACTGTCTTGTGGGTCAGGGTGAAGAGCCTGGCATTGATTCATCGCTTGAAACATTGTCTCTAAATTGTTCGTGTTGTCAGGGACGAACCGCATCTCCGTGATAGGTGTATCCGCATCTTCAAATTCATTCTCTGAGCCACTATCAGAAGCCGGTGGTACTGGTACATCTACATGAGAAATCATAATAATTAGAAAGAATATGTTTTATTAAAATTATATAAGTTATCATACATATGTGAGAAAAAGCAATAATGTTCTAATGAAATATAATATACCTGGTAGATCTACTTTTGCATCAACCATAATGTACAAACATTGCCTGGGGTGTACCTGTTCATCTCGTGATATAGCATGTAAAGATATATGAGGATATTCAAGTGAAAATCCTTGCTGTGTATCATAATTCACCCAAGAAAGTAAGCTACCAATACGAACAGTATATTAAACTCTATCACTAGTTAAATATCATTGGAATCTTTACCTTTCTGTAATATACAGAATTCCTTTGCCAATTTCTCTATCATTAATACACACGGTAGTATTTGGTTCCTCGTGACGAATACCCTCTTGTGGTGCGAGAAAATTGCTAAGTACTACCATTTTATTTTTTATCTGCAACTATAGTATAGAGAAAATTTTCGACAGAAAACTAAAATAATGTAATAATACGTAGAAACAGAAGCCACGAGAACTATGTGGAAGGTTATGCCGGATTGTTTAAGCAATCTCGTACCTTAGTACACTACTCTTATAAATAATCATACATGTCATAAATAAGTCTTCGAAATATATTAATTTTTATTATTCGGATAATTTACGCGCAACAATAAGTCAGAAATTGAATCCATGCAGCTAACAGTACGCATACTTCGAATAGTTCTATTTAGTCTGCATTTATTTAGCGAATTATATAAATTGATTATACTCACGTTACTTTTAGAAACAGGATTTTCCCAAACAATGAATAAACTACGCCAAACTTGTTAACGATTTTCTAACTGTATAATTCCTACGCGATACTTCGATTACGTTTTGTGCGACAAAAATGCTTATTAGGGTTCGTTAGAACTTTATTTTCCCGGACGTTAATCAATACGTAGATTTTGCATTTTTTCCAATATTTATAAGGAAAAGATTCTCCTGCATGCTTTCTACTGTGTTCGTCTCACCACGTTTCACGTTATTGATGCAGAATGTGAAACGCAGAATCAACTCGTCTACATTTGCTGCAGCATTTTCCGATGATCAGCTATATAGAAATGTTGAATTGTGTATAGATGAAAAAAGCGGGAGATTGTATTCAATATTTTTGAAAATACGATAAACAACGAATTTGGTAAATGCTTTGAAAACCGTTTACGTTGCCAGCAAATACAACATATAATATAGACAGTTGGGGGATTCTGTTTATTATTAAAATGCT